TGGCGCGCGCGGGTGGGGCGCGACGCCTTTTGCAGGGGTGAGGTGGTGTGTCATCCTCGGCCGGCGCGCGTGTCGCAGATCGCTTCCCTCGAGCATCAGGCGGGCTGGGGTAGGGAGACAGAAAGGCGGGTACCGGGAGCCAGGGAGTGAGTTCATTCACGTTATGCCCGTAGAGGAAGTGAGGTTTCCTCCTTCGGGGGCGAGAGAAGGGGGCGCGGTGGCTAACCGCCGCGTGTCGGCGGCTAACCAGAAGTGGCTCTCGATCTTAGAAAGAAAGCCTTTTTTGTTGTTGTTGTAAACCGTTGCTGCACGCCCTGCCTCCTGCCAACGAAAGGTTAAGTTGTAGCCCATACCGAAAGGAATGCACTGCCACAGCTCTCTGCAAGACTGACTCAGGGGAGACCTTTTTTTGCAATGCCCCCGCCCCCCCCTTTTTTTTCCTTCCAAATTTGAGTCAGCTTGTAGGATGTGCTTGTGACTATTCGGAAGGCGTGCGGTTTTTTCGCGTCGTGCCCGCGGAGACATCAGGAAAGCCATCCTGGCAATAGATCAGAGATTCAGGGTGGTGCTTTGGTGCTGCATACCACACAAGCCTCTTTCTGCTCCAGAGCCCTGTCATGGGATCTGTTGTCTTTTGAGATCACTACTGCTTAGGGCCCAGTTTTCTCCGAGTTTCTCCCCCTACTGGTCTTTCATTGTATTGAAAAGGCATAGGAGCAGTGCTGCGAGTCCTCAAACGTTGGCTCTCCCTTGAATTTTAAGAGGGGGACTTGGGAGGGATCCACCCCAGAAATGTTACGGTCCAACTTGTCAAGCAGAGCTACGCCCTGACACCACACATTCAAACCCAGTTGTAAATGAGATCCATTCCTCTATGTGGTCCTAGTTTCATTCGGCGGTGTTTCTGTATTTCTCGTGTTAAGCTCTGGTTTTCATCTCACATTCCAGGGGTCTATATTTCTAAATATTTTTCTCAAACCAGTGTTTTCCTCAGTTTCAGAACACTATGTTACCCCAGAGCATTCATATAGATAACATGGAATTCCTAGTCCAAGTAAACCTTAAGGCAGCATTTCCCAAATTGTGTTTCCAAGCAGAGTCTCATGAAAGATTACTAGGTAGTCCTTGGTGGGGGAAAATTCTTCTAGGTATATTTTTCCATCTAAAATATAATTTTTGAAGGTTTTTTTGTTTGTTTAATACACCTGAAAAGAATGCATATACAAAGAATTGAGACATGAGAAAGCATTGGTTCAACACTAATGAAACTACAAGAATTAGGATTTGGGGAAGGTGGAGAATATTACCTAAACATTTTTAATAATGGAAACTGCAAACAAAATAAGCTGATCAAATCCCTATTAACACTTATGAAGAGTCTTCATAAGACTCTCTCCATGGTTTTTATTAAACTAGAGCCTCAACTGGCTGTTCTAGGGTTTCTCATGCAAAACAGAAAGGAGGGGATTCCCCTGACTGGTCCCCATGTTGTTAAATGTTCTCCCCACCTTCACCCCACCCCTAGCTTCTTCATGAAGCAGGTCTCCATCCTCATAACTTGAAGAGGATGTGAATCATCCCACAGACACCTGTCTTCTAGCACCCCTCGTATATACCAGGTCTTCAGCTGTGTTCTAGGAACACCATATCATACACTATTAAGCTGCACATCTATGCTAAGCTTTTAAGACAATGACTGACAAGGAAAAAATGTTTTTTTAAAATTATGTACTTAATCCATTTGGTATATTTCAAAAAGTGCAATACTTTTCTTCATTTATCAGTGAAGGAAGTTAGACATTAACTTTAGGAAAAAAAAAATCAGCAAACGGCTAACAAATTTCTTGAAAGTCAGTCACCGTATATAGTGCATCCTAGAAAAGAGGAGGGGCAAGACAGGTGCCACCCACTTTCATGAGTTTCATCAAATACTGAACCTACTCAAGGGTGGAGAGCAAAGGCAACTTTTAAAAAGGAGTATGTTACTAAAGGAGGCATTGACTATACTCCTTCCTAAGAGCACCGGTGGGAACATGTTTTCTAAACTAGATTTAGGAAGTGGAATGTGGAAAGTGGAATCACTCCATCCTCCTCACCTAACTAAAGGGCTGTTCAATGGTTAATGAATTTTTAAAAAATGACTAAATAAAAACAAACTCCACGCACACACCCCTCCCCTCCCGCCACAAAAGAAAAGAAAAGAAAATACTAAATGTCTCAGGAACCTCTCCAGAGTGGAACCCGGGAACAGCTTCAACAACCCGAATTTGTCTGTTACAAGGTCATCACAAGCATGCCTTGCTTTTAAACAAAACAAAAAACAAAACAAACACTAGTACTGATCACTTTTCTGACAATACACAATTACTCAAAATTAACTAGTATTGAGAGGGAGAAAGGGGCCATATCTATGGGCCTTGTTTCACACGAGTGCATGTGGGTAGGTGCAGGGCATTTGTCATTATTGCAAAAACGAATTTTAATTTTTAATCTTTAGTTTGATTTAAACATTGCTTTTAGTATGATGCCGAAACCAGCTGTGCAGAAAGGGCTCTGGAGAGATGTTCATAGCAGCACACACCTGCGGCTCTTCTTCGGTTCTGGAGGCTCCAGGGCAGCCGATACTGCTTCGTCAAACACATTCTTTGGGCCTTTTTGTGTGAGTGCAGAACACGCCACATACTTGACAGCCTTCAGGTCACGGGCCAGCTTTTCAGCAGTCTCTGGAGTGATAGGTTTCTGTTTGTTCTTGGCAAGTTTCTCAGTCGGAGAGGGGTCATCTCTGAGATCAATCTGGGTCCCAACAAGCAAGAAAGGAGTCTTTGGACAGTGGTGAGTTATCTCAGGCACCCACTTTTCTTTCACATTTCCAAATGAGGATGGAGAGACCACTGAAAAACAGACTAGAAATACATCTGTTTGTGGATAACTCAGCAGTCGTAATCTGTCGTAATCCTCTTGCCCTGCAGTATCAAAAAGTCCAAGAGTATATGGCTCTCCACCAATCATAACTGTGACTGCATAGTTGTCAAAAACAGTGGGTACATACTCAGATGGAAATGTGTTTGCTGTGTAGGATATCAGAAGACATGTTTTACCAACAGCACCATCGCCCACAACAACACACTTAATTGTCTGCATTGCTGAAACAGTTTTATATCCACTTTAAATATTTCAAATCCAATGATGATCTCAGCCTCTCCCTAAAATATAATTTTTAATAAGAAGATGCTAATTATATTATGATTTTCTATGTGATAATCTGCCTTTTTGTTAAATATTGTTTTTATTAAATTTATTGGGGTGACATTGGTTAACATGAACATACAGGCTTCAGTGGTGGGTTTCTATGTGGGTTTCTGTATATTCCACCGTGTGCCCACTACCCAGAGTCAAATCTTCTCCTGTCACCATATGTTAGGACACGATAATCTGCCTTTAAGAAATCACTTGTCAGCCCCGCCGGTGTGGCTCAGTGGTTGAACATCGGACCTTTGAAGTAGGAGGTCCAGTTCACATCCCATCGGGTGTATGCGCAGGTTGGGTCGTGTCTCCATCCCCAGTAGGAGGCACCTAGGAGGCAGCTGATCAGTGATTCTCCCTCATCATTGATGTTGGAGACATCTCCTCCCTTCATTGATGTTGGAGACATCTCCTCCCTTCCTCTATGAAATCAATAAAAATATATATTAAAAAAGAAATTATTTGTCAGCAGGCAATGGCATACTTGTTACTTGAATATATGATTAGTCACTGGTGCAGGTGTAGCATTTACTACCCAATTCACAGTTGATGCATTTGGGTTATTTGCTGACCATTGCTTTATTACATGCTTTATCTTGCTTTCAAAGGTGTTTGCACTATTATGATAAAACTCATTGCTCAAGGTCCTAAGACTACAAGATGAATGTTTTACAGGAAAAGTTGAAATAGCAATTCTCAGATCTTACATCAAGCAAAAAAAAAAAAAAATGGAATTCTTCAGAATTAAAGAATTGCCGCCTAAGTTTTCTAAATGTCCAAGATGAAACTATTGTTCTATTCGAACACATTGCAGATATGTTAACAGTTTCTTGCCTTTTGGATTTATTTCCATTGACAATGATGACTGATAGTCAAATGTGTATTGTGCACCAAAACATTCTCTAATAGCACTTAAGTCACTACTAATCTCGGAAGTAATTTGGAAACAAAGTCAGCTTGGTTATGTAGCAATATACTCTGGCTGAATGAAGTTGCCAAGTTAAACAGTGAAAATATACCAAAAGGTAACAGAGTGAGCTACTTTATAGCACATTGTAATTCAGTTATGGTCAGAAAATATACTTTTAAAGTTTCAGTTCTTTTCAATTTGTTAAGATTTGTTTTGCCCCAGAATGTCCTATGTGCACTTATTAAAAAAACACACACAAAAAAACAAAAACCAAAAAACATTTAATGTGCATTTTTGGTCAATTATGTCAAGTTGGTTAATAACATCGCTAGGTCTTCTATATTCTTACTGGTTTTCTCTACTAATTCTATAGTTTCTGGGAGAGGAGCATTGAAGGCTCCAATTATAATTGTGGATTTGCCTCTTTTTTCACGTCTGTGTATTTTCACTTTATATGTTTTGAAGCTCTGTTACTAACACATTTAGAATGATGTTTTTGATGAATTGATCTTTTATCATTATGTACTATCTCTCCTTGTCCCTTGTGGTGTCTTTGTTCTGAATCTATTTTGTCTCACATTAATATAGATTTTCCAGCTTTCTTTTGATTAGTTTTTCTGTGATATATCTTTTCCTGCCTTTTTATTCATCTTTTTATGTTGTATTTAAAATGGTTTACTTCTGGGCAACACATAGTTAGGGCTTTAAAAAAATCCAATCTGATCATCTCTTTTAATTGCAGTGTTTAGATGATTTACATTTAATGTAATTATTGATATGGTTGGATTTAGGCCTATTGTTTTATTATTTGTTTTCTGATTTCCCTTGCTTTTTTTCTATTCTTACTTTCCTGCATTCTTTTGAATTGTTTAAATATTTCTTAATATTACATTTTAATGTATATATTGTCCTTTAGATATAGCTAGCTCTCTCTTTTTTAAATTATATTTGCTCTATGGCTTACAATATACATACCTAAACTTTTACAGTGTACTGAGTGTTAATATTACATCACTTCAAGTAAATGTAGAGAGACACCTTACTACCATATAGGTTCCTCTATTTCCCTCTCCCCCCTGCTCCACTAACTAACCTTTATGTTGTAGTTGGTATATGTATTATATTTATTTATTTTAAAAACTTTTATAAGAGTTTATTTGAGCCAAACTGATGACATGCCAAGGAGTAAGATCTCAAATGCTCCAGAGAATAACAGTTTTATGCTTTTGAAAATAAGGAGGGAATGTACCTGGAGCTGGGGATTGGATTACAGAATAATTAACAAGATTATGTGCTTTCTTGAGAGTTAATACCCCCTTTGAGAGGTATTACTTCTGGTATTTCAAAGGTGTGTTAACCTAGATGCACAAGAACAAGAGACAGGGCTGGCTTAAACCCTTTCACTAAAGAAGTTATGACTACCTACTATGACTTTCCCTGTTAGGAATTTATGATCAGATTACCCTGTGAGGTTGCTTTCCATAGAACCCATTATTTTCATCCACATTTATCCATTTTGCTCATAAATCAATCTGAAGGATGCTTTGGTGAACCAACATTTTGATCTGATAGTGTGTTCTCAAAGAGCTAGGAAGGCTCATTCCTAGGACAGGTCAGTGTCGATATCCTGTTGTTGACTATTGGGGATGGGGCAATACTATAACCATGGAATCTGAGTTAAGGCTGACTTTTTCCCAAAAGGGAAAGGCAGGCAAATGAAAGGCAGTCAGGTCTTATGGCCTTCATTGCAAAACACATTGAATCATTTCTATCCTGTCAACTATCATGATCCAAGTTTAGCCTTCTGTCTCATTTTTCTCTATTTGGCATTTAGTGTAACATTTACATAAGCCATGAAAAGAATATTAATAGTTATCTTATACATGTTCAGTAATCATAGAAAAATCCAAAGAGTAAGTATAGTTGTTATTACAACTAATATCTTTAAAGGCAAACAAAATGGATTCTGAGTTCAGTATAAGTCCATCGGTACCCAGGCCTTGTTGATGTCATAGGATAGCTATCTACCTCTGGTATCTGAGGCTTCTTGTCCTCAAAGAGTCTTGGATGTTCATGGACAGTGGTAGATGTCCATCTGAGGTTATGAGCCTGACAAGGTCCCTCCTAATGAGGTTGGAGAGTGTCTTTTATTTGATATCCTTTCCAATAAATAAAATCTCCAGGTGGCAGCCCTCCCAGGATCTCCTGTGCCTGTTCTCTCTCTCTCTCTCGTTTTGTGCTGGAGGTTTAAGTTTTGAGCCCTACATACTAATTATACTAATTACTTGAGACAACCTCACAGAGGTTGGCAGGGAAGAGATGGTGTCACTGTCCCCTTTGGGGGCAGCATAAATGATCTTTAAAGTCTTTGTCTTCTGGGAGCTCTCTGAAAGGAAGTGGTTACCAACTTGGCATTTTCTTGTTGTGACTGTCAAACCTTGGTAATAGTGTAAGATGCCTCTTTTCAATAATGTCAGCTAATAAGTTCCTTCATATAAGTCCAGTTTAAATGCACTGCGATGATGTCAGGGAGCCAGGAAGAACCAAAAGGCCATCTTGGGTTTTCCATAGCCCCGACTTACTCGTTTAATTTAGTTTTTTTTATTACTTATTTTTTTATCCTCACCTGAGGACATGTTCATTGATTTTTAGGGGGAGAGAGAGACATCAATGTGAAAGAGAAATATCAATTGGTGTCTCCTGTTCTCACCCCAACTGGGCATGGGACCCAAAACCCAAGTATGTGCCTTGACTGGGGATTGAACCTGCAACTTTTTGGTGCATGGAACGATGCTCCAACCAACTGAGCCACCTGGCCAGGGCTTATCACTTATTTTACAATGTTTCCTATGCAATTTCAAATCTTTTGAGGTGTTCCAGGGGCTCTACATATAGAGATGTTTTTAACCGTTAAAACACCCTTCATAAGCACCTCAAAGTTGATCCTACGTATAATGAGATGTTTAACCCTTAAAACCTCAATTTCTAATGAAAACTGAGAAGTAAGCAATTTGCATTCTTTAGTTTAGAAATTTTATGAAGACATTTTAGTTATTTTTAAATATATTTTTATTGATTTTTAGAAAGAGAGGAAGGGAGAAGGATAGAAAGATAGATACATCTATGAGAAACATTGATAAACTGCCTCCTGCATGCCCCCTACTGGGGATCGAGCCAGCAACCCAGGCATGTGTCCCGTCCAAGAATCGAACCGGTGACCTCTTGGTTCCTGAGTCAACACTCAACCACTGAGCCACACCAGCTAAGCTATGAAGACATTTTACAACCTCTAGAAACATATTTCATAGACATAAAAGCCAATTATTAACATGGACTTATTTTTATAAAAGGCAAAATAAAGACATGTCTTTTACTTAAACCAGCAAACTTAAACTAGGTTTTATTTACTAAGGATTAACTTTAGATCATGTGAACTTGAAAAACATGAGTTAGTTTATTTTTTTCAATCCTTGCAAGCACTTGCCTTTAAATTGATTTTAATAATAGCATCCAGTGGCATAAAATTATCTAACATTTACATCATACATGCATACATAGACACACACAAACAGAATAGTTGGATCCAAATTTTGTTTTGGAGGCATTTGCAATCTGTATATATCCTTGATAAGTCAAGTAAAAATAAGGACAGCCATTATTAATAACCTAAAGAATTGGGATGACACCTATAAGACATCATAGGTTGCTCCATTTATCTAAGTCCTCTTTTTAAAGATTTGAAAGACCAATTAATATGCTTTCCATTCTTTCTGCCTAATTTATAGACAGCTTTTATAACTATGCATGCAAAAGATTAATTAATTTTTAAAATGTTGTTACTGATTTTTAGAGAGAGAGGAAGGAAGAGGGAGAAGGGAGAGAGAGATAAAAACATCAATGAGAGAGAAACACTGACAGGCTGCCTCCTGCATACCCCTTACTGGGGATCGAGCCCCCAACCTGGTCAAGTGCCCTGACCAGGAATTGAACCAGCAACCTCTTGGTACATGGGTCGACGCTCAACCACAGAGCCATACCAGCTGGA